CATTTGATGACACAGTTTATCACAGTACAGTCGACTCTTTGGTTTCTGCGTGCTTGTGTGTCTGCACACGTGTGAGCATATACAGTATGCTGCCAAGTTTTTAACTGTGTGTGTGTGTGTGTGTGTGTGTTGTGTGTGTGTGTGTGTGTGTGTGTGTGTGTGTGTGTGTGTGTGTGTGTGTGTGAGTTATTGGTATGAGTGACATGCTGCATCATTCTGGCTCTGTGTCACCATTTGCTTGTTAGTCTGAACCATCTGGAAGTGTCTCGGCCTGAGCCACATTTTAAACATGTAGCAGATTCTTCTGTTAGGATTTTTCTTTAAACGACATAGGCTACAGTTCTTTTCACATCCTCCTACCCCTCCTGTTTTATCCTCCTCTGTCATCATTTGCCCTCTTTTTGTTATTTTTTCTCTCCCCTGCATTCTGCTCTGCTCCACTTTCCTGTCCTCACCTCCATTCTCCTTCACTCCACACAGGCTCTGTGCTCTGCTAGCCAAAAGGTGGATGAGCAGGGCATCAGGCTAAGCTGGCTGTCACATGCCATCTGCAGGGTCACACGGAGACATGCCATCACGTTCTCCACTCTCTTTTTTCTCCAGGCATGCCTGTGTGCCAAGGAGGGATGTCAGAGAAGGCGAGAAAAAGGCCTTGACTTTTGACATGATTCAAGAGAAAAGAAAGAAATGTTTCAAGATGGCTTTGGTTTACTGCAAGAGAAAAGAGCAGAGACCGCAGAGACCTCTCCATAGTCTAAAACAACGGAGAAGAGAGAAGTGAGAAATACATTGTTGTGAGTAGAGAGAGAACTGAGAAAGGTAAAATCCCGTGAGGGATTCCTGTGGTCTCCCTAATCTGTGCTGATCTTGTTAGAGACAAACCGAGTGGGAGAAGTGACTGGGCTAACTGCCAGGGAGCTGAGCCACCAGCAGCATAGGCTACACTAATCCCTCCAGATATCTTACATTGTGCAACAGAGAGGAGACTAATTTGATTTCAGCCACACCAAATGAAAATGTTAATTGATTCTGTATTTAGTTATATCCCGTACGGCTGGATCTGTTGTCTAATTGTTTGTTATGACATGAGAGATTTTTTTATGGAGTAACTGTTTTGTTACCCTTTTTATTTTAGTGGAAACATTTGTTATAAAATTATGTGCAGTTGATTAAAGCAGTGAGGCAGCTTCACTTGGCCACATACATACAATATATGTAAATATATACAGAACATGGACCGAGGGCACACCATCAGGGCTTCTGAAGTGAAAAGAACAATACTGATATTGAGCTTGTTTGCAAAAGACATTTAGAAAATATAATATTAGATAAAATATAGTATTTTTGTGTCTACAAGTCGCTGCTTCAAGTCCTTTTTGTCTTAAAAATCATGCCATTAGTGACAAGTACATACGTTAAAGCAGGAGGCCACCCTCATCCGTGACTCTGCACCACTTAGTTTTTGTGGACTTAATGAACACACCCACCGTGGGAATTCATGGTGGATCAGTAGAAACCTGTCCTACAGTTCTACATATTAAATAAACTGCCATGCTATTAATAGCTTCATAAATAAATAAATAAAATTAGCCAATATTTCCTTTCAAATGAAGTAAATTAAATGTCACATTATCAGTTTTATAACATTAAGTAACTCACACATGTTCCTAAACACTGTATGGATTTCCTATAATCTTACACTTACTCGAAACTGCTGTGGTACAAAGTCAAATCCACTCTTAGTAAATCTGATTGAATTATGGCGCCATGGTAGACCAAACATCTGTCTTAGCTCAGTCCAGCACGAACTAACCTTTTGTGCTGCAGCCCACTTGTGTTGAGATCCAGCTAAAGGAGGAAGCAGAGGACAGCCCAGGAGAGGGTGACCGTGCCTGCCTCTGTCATCTGGGTGTAAAAGTACTCTTTTCAATTGGCAAATCAAAAGTGTTCTTTCTCACACATTCGCTGTGTGTGTCAAAATACAGATACAAAAAGGCAAGACAATGCAAGACAACTTTGAGGCAGTTTAATATGTTTGAATTGAGGTATATAAAGGCATTTATTGAGAAATAAAGTATAAAAAATAAAAAAGAAGGATTTTAAGTAGGTAAAATTGTAATAAATGTTAATATTTTAATTCCTATGCACAGAATAATGACTACACTTTAAGTTATACCATGTTTTAGCTTTTGAAACTGGTCCTGCCTGACCTGTGTTATCTGGAGGACTCATATGATAAACATTTGGTCATAAACCATGTCTAAAAGATAAAAGAGGACACAGATTTAATTATAGGTTGTTTGAGTCTGCCCTACTTTGCCTTGTGTTCCTCCCTCTCATAGATCTTTCCATAGTTCAAGAGCCACTGTTTTTGTCTGAGACCTCGGTGCTGCTCATTGATAATAAACCCTGCTGTAAATAAGTGACAATTGGATCATGGCATTCAGTTACGGATGAAAAACATGGAAACAAAAGACCAGAGGTCAAGTTAAAGAGAACAGCAAAATACCTGTGTTGATTTTGAGTGAATCAGTAAATGAATAAGTGAGCATGTTGCCACTAATACAAAGGACCTTTTTTTTTCCATTTTTCTTTGTCCGACTTGTGGAAATGATGAAGATCCAGTATAACTTTAGTCGAGCCAGCCAGCTGGACAGTCATTCGGACATGCAGCTGCTGTGTCCTCTGCCCGATCCATTCAGCTCCAGCCCTGTCCATCCAACCAGCCATTCAGACACTCTGTGTCCCAGCCCCAGTCAGCTATTCAACCACTCAGCTCCTCTCCCTCCCTGGCCCCCCCTCCATGAAGACCTCCTTTCCTGCCCCAGGATGCGATGTAGCAACGTGCCTACCAGCGCAGTGAGACCGTCCTTGTTCTAATGTGTTTGTGCGCTGAAGAGATTACAAGGAAGCAGCTTGCCAGGGGCAGGCAGCTGCTGTTTCCTACAGGTTGCAGCAGTTTGGGGGGGGGACAACAGCAGGATGCCCTGGAGGAGAAGTGGCTCGGCGGCCGCCCTGCTGCTGCTCTCGGGCAGGACCATCGCACGGGCCAAGGCCAGGTAGGATCAGGCCTCTGCAGCCACTTGGCTGTTGGGACGAAGCTCATGTATGGATTACTATTTGGCTGATTTGGGAACGGGTGCTGAGCAAGATTGTATTATTAGTTTTCTTCTGTGACTGTTTGGTCTTTGATGGAAAAGCTGGTTTTACTGGCATTGCAAAAGTTTCAGTTAAATTGTTAAATCATAGTTTTTAGTTCCATGTTTGGCTGTTCTTGGTGCTATTTTGGAAAACGTTTAGGGACTGTGTAGACTTACTGTGATTCAAAACCATCTCTCTTTGTGTTGAGTATTGTCTATAGGACAGATCCATGCTGTGACAGAGGTTAAGAAGAAATACTTTCTCAAGGCTGTGTGAGCAAACTTGAATTCTCTGCAAGCTAAGAGGCTTGCAATGGCATTCAGCCACAGGGATTAAACACTGTGTTGCTTTCAACATTAGCCGCTTTTTTAACTGGATTATTGTATTCCTTAACCAGAGTTGGTGGTTGGGGTTACTTTATGTTATTTCCCACAATGCTGCTGCTATAAACATAAGACAACAGTTTGACATTTTGTCCATTCTTCTCTCAGAGTGGATGGCTTCCTGTTGTTCATCTGAGGCCCATTCAACAAGAAACAATCCCAACACTCTGACATTTTCAGTTGCCCCTGTTTTCAATTGTCTGTTTACAAAAGTAGCATGAAGCACGTTTTGTTTTGTGGCTGCGCTTTATAACGTGCTGGCAAGGTGAAGAGTATTATTAGCAGGTTTAAAAACAAACAGGACAATGCTGCTCTTCCGCTTGGTTCTTTAGGCAAAACAAGGAAGCCCGGGAAAAATAGACTCAAAGCTTTCTATCTTTCTCTTTATAACCTGTGCTCACAAGGTATTCCATAGTGAAGTTGCTGGCATACTTGAGGTTGTTTTTAGGTAGTATGATCTGAGTTGCTGTCATATGATAAACTGTAGATGTTGATCTAACTGGTTAGGCTTTTTCTGATAAGCTGCACAGCAGGTTTTCATGGTAGTGCATTCACAAAATTGTTCATCAAGCTTTTATTAAAACAGACAGAACTAAGTCATGCATTAGCAGACTATTTAAAAACACACATCTCTGTCTCAGTGAAATGTGTGAAAACAGAAGGCTAACAGGTTTCACTAAAATGACCCAGGTGTCAAAACCAGTGGAATGTTTTTCTCATATTTCTCCGAACCTTACCGTGTGTGTGTGTGTGCGGCTCTGTATATTTACATCCTAAGCTGATGTATAGGTTGTCGTCCACATGACAAGAGAGAATGAAAGGAGTTGAGTCAGTGATTTGGTTAAGGGGTTGGGGGGTTACAGTGCTACTCACAGGCAATGTTGACAGACCTGTTGAACAACTCGACATACTTCCTCAACACTTTCTCCCTCCGCCGCGTGCTCATACATCCATACTCAGCCACCTGATACTTATTTATGTCAACTGTGTAATAGGCCAGGTATGAGGTTGAACTAGGATGGTAGTTATGATAAGATGAATGGTGCAATAACTAGCCTGTCTTCTGCATATAAGGCATGATTTGATTTAAAATACCGCACCACGTCAGTTGCTGTCACACTACAAGTATGCGCTGTGTGATTTGAGATTACCACAGAATTTGAGAGAGGAGAGAACATCTTCATCCTTTGATCTGATTGATTAACTTAATTCTTAACTCATAAAGTAACAGCAAAGCAAAGAGGTGATAACATGCCTCGTCTTTTCAACAAAGAATCCTTGATTAATTAGCTCAAGTTTAGTTGCAAAAGACCAATAAAGTACATGAGGTGTACCTGTGAGTGTACATTAAGATTAGTCATCTTACACTTGCATGGCTAGAGGCTTCATTTTTTTCGTCCATTGGACCGTTTCCTAGACCAGAACAAGAACTATCATTATGTTACAACTTAACTAGTTTTCAGAGGAAGTTGATGGCCATCACGTATGCGGGCAGGGTGTGTCACCTCGGAGTTGCGTGGGAGGAGACAGGTGTGAATGATGTGTTAATGTTCAGAGAGTCGTCACTCCCTCTTGCATTCCAGCTCTACTCAGCTCACAAACATGCCACACAGCCCCAAGCCTCAGTAAAGTCTTCCAGCATCACTTCCTGTCACTGCACAGAGAAACTGGAACAGCGGACAGATTTGCATCGCACTCACATGGTGTACAACCACTAGGACTGGATAAAGCTAGGGTTTGTTCTGGTCTGTAATTCCTGGATTCCTTTAGCATTGTGGATATGGGGGGCAGAGAGGAGGTAACGCTGGACAGACTCGTTTCCGCCATGCCGTTTTCACACACCAGGTTGAACCGTTTCAGGCTTCGTCCTGCCAAAAGCCCTGCGAGGAACAAGCGTGTGAAACCATCCTTCTACAAGAAAAAAGCCAGGTATGTGTGATGGGAGGGAGTTGGAGCTGGATCAGCAGAATAAAAAATCATCCATGTTTTGGTGAACGTTTGAGAGTTCTGCTTAAAGTGAAATCGTGTAGATAGCACAATTTCAACTCTAGATGGTTAAAAACTAAAAATAAAGTGTAAGCGTGACATCATAAACATGTCATTCAAACCCCTGCAGCTGTGATATGTGTGGTTTATGCTGTGGAGTTCCACAACCCTTTTTTAGACAGTGACTCTATTTTGACATTTGTTCTAACATTTCAATTGACAATTGTGTGGTTGTTTGCAGACAGACCTTCATTTGTGGGATAGATTATTTTGTGAAAATAATTCTCAAATAGTTTCATCATCATCCATTTAATCTAATAGAAATTCTTTTGGAACTGAGTGAAGTTGATGTGGCTGCTGAGCAGCAGGATCCAGAGTGCACTGCTGTGAGGCAGCTGCCTGCAGACCTCTGATCTCTCAGACTTGATGTATTGTATCCATTAGAGTAGCAGGTTTTGAGCACATGTTATGGCTTTCGACAGATGTGTGTGTGGTATAAAGTGAGCCAGATTTCGAAATTTATGGAAAATAACAGCCTTTATTATGTCTCTATTTCTTTTTAGGATATCTGTATCACATTTCTTCCAAATCCAGACTTGAGTTATTGGCTGATGTTGAGTACTGATCAGATGGTAGATGCTGTATTTTCTTTTGCTGCTTGTAATCTTGGGGAAACTCAAAGAGAGCATTCAATTCTTATTTATAAGTGGAGACATTTTGTACAACTTTCTTTTCAGGTTTATCCAAATTTGAATTACACTGTTGAAGACTGAAAAAATATGCTGCTACAATCTTAATGTGACTAAAAACAGGATTCAAAGTGGATCCGTCTAGAGCCGAAACAATTAGTCAGTTTATAAAAAATGAGTCAACAACAACTGGGATGATTGATTAATTGTTTTTCTTTTTTCAAGCACATGCATCAAACACTGATGTTTTCTGGTTCTCAGGTGTGAGTATTTGCTGCTTTTAGTATAACACCTTTGGGTTTGGTCTGCTGGTTGCACCAAAGCTGCAGTTTGGAAAAGAAGGGTATTTTCCTCACTATTTTCTGACATTTATAGACGAAACACTGATTTAAACAAATAATTGAGTGACTTGTCTGGCCAAGACCTGATGCCTTCAGTAATGTCAGTAGCATTGCAGATTCCAATCCAGTGCATTATATCCATGCATCATTTAATTTATGGTTTAGTTAAGTAATTACATGGTTTTGATATGTTGAGGGAGGACGTTTGTCAAAAAGCTCATAAAACCGCTGAAATTGTGGACGTCTTTCTAGTAAAATAAAAGATTTCACCATCTTATTGCTCTACTTACATTACACTGCTATAATGCATAGTGGAATGCCACCATACTTCTTTAGAGAACAGTAAAACAATAGCATGACTCATTCTTCTTTAACATTTGACAGTGTAATGAAGAAGTAGTTATAGTATAGTTTTATGGGATTGTTGATCAACATATTGTTATAAAAGACCAAGAAGTGATTTCTTTAATTTCACTGTTCAACAGATTTTTTCCCCAGCCACGTTAATATTTCTCTATTTGTCTGCACATGGACTAATATTACTCAATGAGAAGTTAATATAGGCCTGTCTAGCATAAAGCTCTACATAGAAATTACAATTACTATCACTGAATTAAGTACCTATTGAAACTCAAAACTGCTGTCACCCCCCCCCCCCCATGAAACTGGTTTAACACACCAAAACATTGATCTGGAACAAACCCGATCTGATCTTGCTTAAGCTGACTTGCAGTTGCTGTGAACGTGCACAAGGAACATTCTGAAAGAATCTCACAAGTATGATGGGTATTTTTCTCTCGGTATCATTTCATTGTCTCTCTTCATTTATGTTGGCGTGATAAGCCGTCTGGCATTCCTCAGAAATGGACTATGTCTCTCGAGATTTGCCGGATTGAAGAATGCGACAGGACCGCACACCGATGGAGTGAGTCAGATGACCACTTCCTGTGTCTGTGTATCACCGGGTCACATTTCAATGCTTGAGGGTGCGAGTGAGTCTGCAGTGTGTCCCATTGTTGTTAGAGAACAGTATCCTCTGTTGTTGAGCGCTACACAGGAAAAGCTGGCTGCATTTTCCCTGCTTGTGTTTGGAAAAGAATCTGAGATGAATTATGATCTCTTTCTCTCAGATTGTCATTGGCGTTATTTCTTCCATTGTTAGTGCGTTACATTTGTGTATCCCTGTCAGCAGATGAAGGGGTGTTACCCATAGCACAACAGATCTCACATTCTTACAGTGACATCTAGTGGACCTACAGGGTATTATGCCTCCAGGACACATTTTGCAAGAACAATAGAGACCCCCCTTTGTGTCCGCTCTCGCCATCTCTCTCCTCACTCCGGCCCTCCCTCCATCCCACTCCTTTTGTCTCTCCTTCTCTCTGGGCTCTCCCCGGCTGATTCATCCGCCCCGCAACGCATCAGTCTTCACCGTTCCTCCTGTGTTTGTATGTGTCTTTGTGTTTCTGCTCGTTTGTTTGCATGCATGCGTGTAATTTCTTTACGTGTGTGTATGTCTGTACCAGAAATCCCAGCCCCACCGAGATGAGCGTGGAGCCCTGGGCCAGCCCGCAGGACCAGGCAGCCGCTGAGGAAGAACACAGCACGCACACGGCATCCTCCCAAGATCAGGAGCAGCACCCCGACAAACTCTGCCTGGACTCGTTCTGGAGTGAGGTGGAGACCATCCGACAGGGGAGTGGCTATACAGATCTCGACTGCAGCAGGAGAGACTCCAGGCAGTCAGAAGGTAAATACTGCAAATCCCGTGCTGATAGATTACACACTGTAGAAGCTTACATAGAAGTCACCACGAGTTTATGTGATAGAATTACGAGCCATCAGTGTTTAACACAGCTGCCACTGAAATCCTCCATGAAATGATGCATTTGCCATGGCAACATATCAGGTTTCTTCTCATGCAGCAAAGTAGAGCTCATCACCATGACAACACTATCAAACACTCTGTGGCAGGGAGTGTTTTTTGTGCACAAGCCGCTATTTGGCTTGTGCACATTAATGAATGCTGACTTGACAGGAATGCTCTTTTATTACGTCCATTCAAAGTGTCTTTTGTGTTTATTCTACCCTTTAATAGATCCTTTTGATGTTATGTTAAACAGAAACACTGTTTTAAATTAATTTTTCCCTAATGAGTAAACCCTCAGAAGTCTGGATTTTGGTGTGTAAATTGTGTGTGTGTGTGTGTGTGTGTGTGTGTGTGTGTGTGTGAGAGAGAGAGAGAGAGAGAGAGAGTCTGCATCATCATTATTGTGGTAGCATAAACAAAATTCAGTTTTTCCTTTTGCTATTAAATAGGAACAACTTACCAACTACTAGCGTGTTTACAAAGTGAAGATTTTCACATCATTAAATTAAAACTGGTTGCACCACACAAATGCATAGAGATTAGTTGTTACTAAACTAAACATTTCCACTTATTACCGGCCAGGTTCTAACAGTTTTGCAAGTAACTATATTAACTGACAAAACTAATGTTAGCTTTCTAATGTATGACCTGTTTACAGTGAAGATGCCTTATGGTTGACACATATGACCTGACACTGTTTGGTTAATAATCACTGGGAACACTTTAAACTAAATAAAAAATAACACAACATACCACTAATTATAAACCTTCACGAACCTACTTTATACATACATAAAACACACATAGTTCTCCATCTACACATGTATAAATAAAACTAAATCCTATGTACCATTTGTGGGATTACACTTGTTGTGTACTTACATGTGTCTGTTGTGTGTTATGTGTCTCAGAAGGTGAACAGGAGGAGCAGTGGTTGGCTGATGCTGGTTTGTCGAACCTCATCAGTGAGGACAGCGAGGATGTAGACAACGTGGTGCTGCTGTCGACACTGACCCGGACTCAGGCCGAGGCCGTGCAGCGTCGACTGAATTCCTACACGCTGTCCCTCCGCAAGAGGAACAAACCGCGCGACGTCCGTGACGTCTTCAACTCACCCATCGCTCAGGTCAGGACTATTTCAATCCTTGAGTCCCTGCTGGTGTAAGGGAAGTTGTTCTGTAACTCACCACGACCTCTGACGTCCTGGTGGAGGAGGAACAGTAAAGAACACAAATTACTACTCAAAGGAAAATGCAAAAGCACTTCATGCTGTAAATTCATGTGGTTCTAAATGTACAAGTGCTTCATAACATATCATGTTACACAACTTTACATTACGCAGAGCCTGTGTGAGTCAGGGCTGCATGCAGTAAAATATAAAATACCCATTTCCCTGGTGACTGTCAGGACTCAGTGAGGGATTTTCTATTGTTACAGTGTATTGTGCTGTCATGTTCCTGTGACGATGAAGACAAATCACATGTAAAGGCCATGTTTGTCCTTCCCATGTGTGTTAGCAGCCCTGAGAAGGAGACAAAGACGCTGTTCCTCTGATCCTTATCAGTCCTTTATCAAAGGAAACACTCTTTGTATCCATCTCCTCACGGGACAATATACAACACTACTTCGATTCCCAGTGGTTGGAGAAAATATTACAGGAATGGTTCTCTCAACTAAGGTTTTGTAAGAAAGTCTTGTATATGTTTGTGACGTGTCAATAAATCCTTTTTCTCACCAGAACCTTCTGCCTGAGTCCCAGCATAGTGAAGACCTTGCCCAAAACAGCATGGCATCGGTCGCCAAAACACCACTATCAGGTAAGAGCTACAAACTGTAGTATTATTACAGTGAGCCAAAATTTAAACTAGTAAGTAGCTACACTAATTAAAAATACAAAAAGAAATGATTTAATAATGAGAAAGTCTGGTGAGCAGCTGAGGTTCTGAAGACGGATCAGGATCAGGCCACAGTCCTATTATCTACCGTCTAATTGGTTCAGATTAATCCTCCAGATAATTCCTCATCTCTACACGCTGCTCCTGGAGAAAGCCCCTGTCCTTACAGTACAGAGTTCCTTTGCCAAATCTCAGTATTTTAGAGTAATATTACAGTTTTTGTTCTAAGAAAAAAAAACAGGCAAGACCTTACAGAAAGTGCCTCATGTGCCTGCATTTCTGAAGTTTACAACAGGTAAATCTTTAGTTGTTGATGTTTTAGCAGTAAAGTCATGCAGCAGGGAGACATCTGTAGTCAAACAACAATGTAATATACACATCTAAGATACAGTGTCATACTGTTACAGATCAAGTAACACAGTGACAGTGACATCGGTAGTAATTTGGTCTTGCTTTTTTCATGAGAATAGTTCTGAGGATACCTCTGCCAAATGTTGTTTTTTTCCAGATGCATTGTTCTTCCATTACAGATAAGCTGTAGATAAGAGATCAACAGACTGTGTGTGTGCAAATTTCCTCATAATTGTGGATATTTTGTTACATTTCTTCCTCATGTTCCCTCATGCTGCGTGCATTCAAATAAAAAATTTGTGGCATGTCTACAATTGACTTCCGCAACTGAACTAATAGGTTGTTGTTATCGTTGTGTTTAAGGGTGTGTTTCCCACTCAGCTGTGACGCCAGAGCATCAGCGAGGTGCTCCAAAAGAGGAGTTCTTCATCACCGATGTGGCTTACTGCGAACAGGCTGTCATCTTCTTCAAACAGGCCAAACTGCCGCAGAACAACAGCCAACGCAGAAAAGAGGATGGCACCCTGCCAGTAAGCACCAAAACACTTCCCTGTCTCCTACTCACTTTACAGGGAGACTGCAAGTCCCTTCAAACTGTGGATGTTTTAAAACTGTTATTTCAAATGGGGGATTTTGTAAACGTTCCAGTTAAGTCATGAAATGGGAAGAGAATTTGCAAATTGGGCATAAAAGGGAAATGCTGACAAGTGTTTCTCTGGTTGTATTTCCCTACATTAATTTCTTTTGGTGGGTGTGAAAGTACATCTGAACATCTATTACAGGAAAGAGGATTTGAATTATGCAGTTCTAGGGAAGGCGAGGTGCATAAAGTATATGATAACCCCTATTAACAGTTTGTTATGTGTAGTACCAGGATGGTTACCTTGGTAATGTGGGTTTTCAGCTACTGTCTGTTAAAGTCATTATAAAGTTAAGACTACAGTTGGGTACAGGATGACTCACACACACTACTGACTGTATGGTCATCTTGTAGTTACACCTTTTGTTCTGCAGTACTCACTAACACACAATTATTCAAAAAGATTTTGTATGTTTTTGTGTTCTTGTGCTAAAAGTGAGGTCATTTGGTTCACATTTTGCTTCGTTTGTAGCTGTGGATATAATTGGTTTTGGTATTGGTATTAGAACTTATTGGAAACATTTAAGTTGTTGCAACTGATCAGGAAAAACAAATCTCAGTAATATAGGTATTTAGGACATCACTCTCCATTTCAGTCTCTAGCCCAAAATAGTTTGGTTTTTGGGTGAGTCCAGGTTTGAATTTTCATGTAAGCCTGTTAATACACACACTCACACACAAATGTTACTGTAAGCCAGTTCTAATCGGTCCCTATTGTTAGACTGTTAGATAACAGGGTTACGCAGAATAAAGGAATGAGGGAATTAGCTCAAAACAAAAGAAGAGTTGTTGTGTCACAGAGTCCAGTAGATTTATGTTTCTGTTTCTGGCTGAATATGTTTACTCAGCAATTAGGAAGGATTTTTTTTTTTTAATGTTTATTGTATTATTAATTATATATGCATTGATACTGTTGCCACATTTTATTAAAGAGTATTAATTAAAGAGATGACAAACTGATGCACAGTAGATTATAATGAATATGATGTAATGATTTGACACTGTCGCCATTTTCTTCTCCTTTCCTCTTCACCCTGTTCTTTGTCCCATTCTCTCTCTTTACCTCTTCACCTCCACTTTCCACCTCTCAACTTCAATCCCCCCCTCTTCTCACTTTCCTCTCCGTCCGCTCTCACCTTCACAGCGGGTGATCTGCCCCAAGTGCCGTCTAGGGGTGACTCGTATTCAAGATCTCTCCCACGCTGACATGAAGAAAGTGCGTCAGTTGGCTCTCATCGACATGACGGCGCTCTGCGACCTCTTAGAGCTGGAGGTCAAAAGGCACAAAACCGGCAAGAGAAAAATCCCAGGTATGGCTGCACTGCCACACGCAAAGCCGAGCACTTTGCAAACAAGGAAATAGACATGCTGTAGTATCTTTTTTTAGACACTAACATTGTTTATTTGATGATGATGATTTGATTGTGAGCCAATCAAATCAGATGGAAACAATGACTCAGACTGGCACTTGAATGGTTGTCTGCGACACTAGTTCTGCACAGACTGTTTCAAACAGGTCTAACGTCAATTTATTCTCATGTGATGTATTTGATTCATAAAGACTTACAAACTGAGAGTGTCTTAAATCTAAGTATGCGCCTGTTTCTATACTAAATATTTTACATAGTACCTGTTTTCCTGTACATATTCGCGCTGAAAATCAGACTAAACTATGGTGACACATTCATTAGTAATACATTAATCGACCATATAATTTTTGGGTTAGCCATAGTTTAACACACTACAGTTGCTGTATGTCGGCTCCTAATACACAGAATTACACAAGCAGTGACATGGCCGTATGGATGTTGGCACACACACACACACACAACGCAGGAAAATGTCTCCGTTATGCATCTGTGGCTAAATGTCAATGTAAGGCAAAGAACAACTGACTGACGCTTTGGTCTTTCACAGAGAGCACGCTGTTCGGGGTGCCGTTGGCCACGCTGATGGAGAGCGATCAGAAAATTAAGCCCAACACCTCGACTCCTCTCTTCATGCAGGCAGTAAGAACCCGAAATACATCTGTGTCATATGACATTAAAAGAATAACACATGAAGAAGATAATTCAGAACACTTTTCATCCGAACTATCTGTACTGTATGTGGGCTTGTGGTGTTAATTGAGGCAATAATCTAAATGTGCCTAAAATATATCAGATCTGCTATTATGACAGATGACAGCTTGATTCCTTTTAATCATATTTTTCTCAGCACAAATTTATCTTTGTTGAACCTACAAACAACGACTTTAAGTAGAACACATGAAACAACCTCAGTGTCCTCTGAATGTGAAATGCTTTGACCACACCCTGTATGTAGCAGCAGTTACTGAGAATAACCAGCAGAGGTGAGCAAGAGATTCTTATCTGCTGATGCCTGACTCTCTGCTAATGTCTTTCTCTCTCCTTCCCCTCTCTCTCTCTCTCTGCAGTTGTTGTCGTTTTTAGAGAAGAAAGGAGTCGATTCGGAGGGGATCCTGCGGGTTCCAGGATCTCAGTCCAGAATCAAGGTACAATATTCAGACCTGTTTCTGTCACACAAAGCCTGGCACCTGCACCAATTTATTTAGTTACTTTTAACTTTTAAGCCTTTCAAGCCTTTTATTTGCCATCCTAAGTTTAAAGCAAAGAAATGAGAAAATATTCACAATCTAAAGGTCACCCAAAATATTGACACTGTAAAATGTCAGAAGTTCTTGAACAACAGTGAAAATCAAACTGCTTTGAGTTTAACTATAGTTGACATTTAGAAAAACAACGTCCAGAGACAAAATCAATCATGTTTTTCAGCTGCTGCTTCCAGACTTTATGATGCTGTATTTAATTCTGCACATGCACATTAGATGGTGGATCAATTTAATCAAAGCAGGCAGAAGAGGGCGCCATTTAGCACTTTATGGAAAAAAACAGGACCGATTATAAGGACGGATCAATCATGTGGATGGACAAAAATCAATAAGCATTTAGAGAGAATTAACTAAACTCACTATTTTACTAAACGTATTATTTTCTTATCTTTACGATATGGTTATTATTATATGGATATTAGTTTTATAATAATAATATAATTTATAATATTATATTACACCATTATAATAGTATTACCCCCAAAACCTAATTTTACTAAATCAAAATACAAATATATTTGTTTTTAACCTATTTGATAAAAGTGGAACTATCAATGTACCATTAGTTGTGGTACACCTGTATTTTCGGTTCTGTCCCAAGTTCATGAAGGATCTACTACCTTCAGCATAGTCTGCCATTTTGTTCTGTTAGTAGAGCACAACATCCTTTCTTTCTGACTGTAGGTACACAAATAGAGGCATATGAGGCTAATCCAAACCTCAAACTCCTCCCTGAACAATTTTTAGTTGTTTTTGGAAACCTCTGTTAGCAACAGGCTGGCAGATAAGAATCAGTAACACAAGGTAATGACATGGTGAGTTAATTTAACACTAATGTGTTTTAAATAGCTGTTCATCTGTGTGAATGACAAGCAACATATCAAGATTTTATAATTTAAAATAACTGACACTTTACATAGAATCACTAAAGCTGATTATTCATCAGTCACAATCACTAACAAGTCACAAAAATGACAATAAAATAACTGAAAAGTGTTGATTAACTCAGTGATAGTGTTGGTTTTTAGTTGTCTGGAAGATCTTTGTTTTCTGTCTGCAGCTGCTACAGCAGAACTTGGAGACCAACTTCTACTCAGGGCAGGTCAGCTGGGATGAGGTGAGTCCAAACGACGCTGCCGCGCTGCTTAAGAAGTTCATCCGGGAACTGCCCGCTCCTCTGCTCACCACCGAGTACCTCAACACCTTCAGCGCTGTCAGAGGTCAGCAGACACTTTACGTTGCTCCAATTCCGAAATATCTATTACAGGAATCTTGTGTTGTTATTGTGTAGAGTGTGCAACATTTTAATATCTTGTTAGATTAATGAATGTGCAGACAGTGTTGCCAGTCTGTTACCTAGAGACAAGACATGACTAATGTCTATTGTTTGGATAAAAGACCTTACAGTTTCAGGTTACGTCAGTATTAAATCACACAGCTCCTCTATAGTGCAGTATGTCAGTATGCTGATGGGTGTGACTGAGTGCATTCTTTACATGTTTTTAAACCTGGCCAGTTGTGTATTTACTGTATAAAACAGACATACACAAAAATTCCTCTCCTCCACCTTCTCCTCCTCCTCCTCCTCCTCCTCCTCCTCCTCCTCCTCCACATGACTTCAACAATCTACTGCCCACTTTTCCAGACAGCTCAGTGGGGTTCACATCATAATTACCTAAGTCTCTTTACCATGATGACAAACACTGTGTGATGCTTATCTCTTCTGCTCCGGCTGAGAAATCCACATTAAGATGAACAAGTTGATAGCCTTTTTAAGAGGCGTCCCCGTACTGGCACAAATGCATGCAGCACAGTGACAAAGCATAGTAAGAGAGCTGCTATTTTCACATTTCACCTTAATAAAAGACTGTATTGATATTAATATAATCTGATTGATGACTCGCTGTGTAGTTTGCGAGGAGAATCGGTGCAAAGTGATAAACGACATGTGACCACAGAGACATAAGCTTACGGACCTAATGGCCAACTGTCACAATGTCATTAATCTTTAGGTATCCCATTATTCTCAGCCAAACATGAGGAAATGAAGAGTATGTGTGTGTGTGTGTGTGTGTGTGTGTGTGTGTGTGTGGGTGTGTGTGGGTGTGTGTGTGTGTGTGTGTGTGTGTGTGTGTGTGTGTGTGTGTGTGTGTGTGTGTGTGTGTGTGTGTTAAACCTGTCTTACCTTTGCTCCTCCTCCTTCAGACATCACAGAGTTGAAACAGAAACTCCACATGTTGAACCTGCTCATCCTGCTGCTGCCTGAGCCCAACAGAAACACACTGAAGGTACACACTGAAGAAACACACACACACACACACACACACACAAACACACAACACGTTGACAGTGTACTTCATGAAAGAGAGACAGACATATTTATCGTCCTCATTTCAGCACATTGGAACCAGCTGAACACATACTGTTGTTTGATGCCAATCATTGTGTTTTAATGCACTCAAGTAACCTGATTTTTTTGGTTTCCGGCAGTACTCTGATTTGTAAAACATCACGTAGACATGAAACCAGAAACCCACATTCAGGATAAAAGAAACACTGTTAAGACAGCTCCATTTCTGCTGAGGAAATCTGCTTCAGCCGTGTGAACATCTTTAGTTTTAACAGTAATCCGTCCAGGTTCTTATGTACATTGTTTGCATTGGTTAATATTTACTTTACAAATTAATATTTTACACATGAAATAGAGTTAATTTTAAAATATGATACATTGTTGTAGATGTACCAACCAAGCAATATATAAAATATTTAAATGAGCTTCACTTTGACTAACTGCAACAGTCAATGCTCATAGCACAACAATGACATGAGTGCCAATGGTCTGATATAATATGTATAACCCTCACAGGGACCATTTTCTGTGTTTATCTTCTTTACTTTTGATACCTTAAGGACATGCTGTTAACTAACATTTATAACTAGTGTTTTTACAGTGTGCCTTTCATGAAAACATACCTCTGAATATTATTTTCAGTTTCGCCGCGAGAGCCTCCTAAATGTTACACACTGGACCTTTAATTAAAGAGCGTGTAAAGAGTGTAAAAACACTGGAGAAGATTTTTACAGAATCCATAAAGGCCCCCAAAAGTGTTGAGATGAATTATGTTTTTAAATCTATATTGAGTATTCTTCACCACACCCTCCATGCTCTTTTTATGGTTGTCAGAAATCTAGACTTCCATGAAACTTGACATACCGAAGCACTGTTTCATAATGCATTACCCTATTGTTCTGCTCTTAATCCACATTTTAAACCCTGTGTTCTGTTGTATAATGACTCACATTAACCATGACTCATTTTCACCATCACAAGTGTGCAGTCAGCTCCGCTTATAGCATCCAGGAGCATAAAACCCACCTGAACTAATTACTTTGACTCCAGTGGAGGCAGCTGAAACTTACTGTGCATTAACATACTTCTCAGTAAAGGTGTTACAGATGATTCAGATACTGTGAAAATTCACTTTACTCCACTTTGTGCTTCAGTTTAAGTGCCCTTTCAACATTGACACACTGTTCAGGTGGAAGAGAGTGTCTTTTAACTCTATAAAAACTAGAATAAAAAATTTATTCCACAAATGGCTGTGAGCATTTGGTTTCACGTATCTGTATGCATGTCTCCATCTGTGTGTCCTTCAGGCCCTCCTTGAGTTCCTCAGTAAGGTGGTTTCCAGGGAGAAGAAGAACAGGATGAACCTGTGGGCCGTAGCGACCATCATGGCTCCCAACCTCTTCCTCCACAAGGCCGTCCCCAGCAGACTGACTGAGGGGGCAGAGAAAGGGCATGCGGAGAAGGCAGCTGATGTTATGAGGCTCCTCATCCGCTACCAGGAGTTGCTCTGGACGGTAGGACCACCCACATATTCAGCTTCAAGAGGAGAGGATTGTTGGTTTTACTAAGCAAACATCAGATATAGTGTAATATTTTAAAGACTAAAACCATTTATTCTGTGAAATCTTTAAAAAGTTTTCTTAGTAATAAAGAGTAATCAAGCAACACTCATTACAAAAACTTGGTATTTTCTATCCCAGTTGTCCAAATACCAGTCTGACAAATAGTTGTACTACAGCAAGTCAGCCTTATAATAATTATTGTTAGCATATTTCTTGGTATGAAAATATAACCATCACAAATGTTCCTTTTTTTTTCAGATCCCTAATTTTCTCATGGGCCAGGTGCGTAAGCTGAATGAGAACAGTAACCGGCGTTACCAGTTCTACGATCGCCGCATCAAGAACCTGCTGAGGAAGATCCACACAGACAGCCGGGAAAAACCTGATAAGAACAGCTCAGAGGTTAGTGCTGTACAGTACACGTGGCCAAAAGCAGTTTGATTTTGGCACTAAAAAAATATACAATATAATTACACCCATAAATGATTTTAACAAATCTCAATTCTTTTGGTAATTTTGTCGACTAATGCTGAGATATTTGTGAAAAGCACAATAATATATCTACTGTTAATTAAGCTTGTTGTACACACTGTAATACATGCTATTGTTTTGTTGTTGTTATGTTATAATGGTGATAAATATTCTTTAACTCTTGTTGTTCTATAGCTGTGCCGTACAGTGAAGATCCAGGTCGGGGACCTGGTCAGCAGCACCATGGAGTACCAGCTCACGACAAACTCTCGAGCCTCAGACCTTCTAGCACAGTTTCAACGCCAGTCCCTCCGCAGCCCTGAAAATGGAAAGGGCAAAATGCGAAGGTACGGTACTGAAAGTGTAAATACATGCTGACTTATTCAGAATTATCTTAAACATACAAACCATGGCCTCCTTGCATTGTAAGATGATGATTAGTGAATCTGACTTCCAGAAGTTTCCACACAAAACGACTACACTTGATAAAGACATAGCACATGTAGCTGTTGGTACTCATAAAATACAAATAGGTCTTTAACATGAAAGGGATGCAACATGAAGCCAGTGGCCATTTAATTTTGTTACGTAATGTGCTTAGCAGTGAAGTTTAAAAATGAAATTTGATGTGTTTTAGCTCCCTTTGTGTGAATTAAGGATGATAAATAGCTAATGGTTGTATGTCTGTTAACAGAAACGGCTCTGTGGCGTATCCAGACTGTGCCCTATATGAAATCGGGGGGAATATTGGTAAGTGAAAGTGTCTGCACCGTTTTCTCTGGTTGGAGCACTACTGACATTTGCATGTCTTTCTGCTCATTGAGCTGATGAGGGTAGCAAGGTCTTATGTAATGAACTATGCAAGCGCCAAAGAGAAGTAAGCGGTGCATCTGCAGTTATCAGAGCAGACAAATGCTTATTACACACATGTTTGTGCTGTCACAGGAGAGATGACACAGTAAACAGTGAAAAAAAACCTGTTCAGTTCAGCTTTGTAATGTAAAACTTCTCCTCGTGCACGTTATTCTGCACAAGACTATTGACTATAAAAGTTGGATACTTAAATAAATAATCGGAAACTATCCAAGTTATAGCTTCTCAGTTGTGAATTTCTCTGTTCTGTGTAACTATGAACAGTTTCTGGGAAACTGGGATGGACATTTTCCACAATTTTCTGGCAATCAATGAGTCAAACAATTAATCGATTAACTGAGACAATCGATAATGAAAATAACTGTTAGTAGAAGCTGTAATTGATACATAAAAATACAATCTACATTTTTTGTTGCTTGCTGCAAAACCTTCCAACAGTCGAGGATTTTAGTAATTTTCTGTGTGTTTTCTGCAGGTGAGCACTGCCTAGATCCCGACACACACCTTCTGGATTTGTACAACAGTAACCATGGAGGAGAGTGGGTCATCAAACTGAAACCCAACGCCAGCAGAGGGCTGTGAAGGATGGACAGAAAGATCAGGGAACAGCTTGCTCAAAAAGGACAAAAGCAAGAACCTAAAAAAAGATAGAATCCATGGAGCCCTCTCGTCCTTCTTGTCCCTTTCATCCTTGGAGCAACAAGCGAAAGGGAGACAGATGGACAGATGGAGGAAGCAGAAACAGATAGATGGAAAATCTGCCAGGAGCAGAGCCTAAAAACTGTCTATGATCAGATGGACACACATTGCCCTCTTTGTCTTTCTCTCTCTCTCTCTCCATCTTCCTCTTCTTTTTCTCTCCATCATTCCTCTCCTGTGTTTTACTGCGGGGCAGCGACGCTGCAAGCAAAAAGCTGCTGACGTGACTCATTACTTTCAACAGAGAACCTGCTGCATACAAAACAGAGGAGAGATGAGAGAAAGCGAACGGCTGGGCAGTTTGGGTCGCCATCTTTTTTCATCTCCAACTACGAGCGAGCAGATGGGGATGCAGAGCACCTCTGGCTATAGAGAGCCAGAGTCCCACCCCCTTTCTCAGGCCAGCCAGACAATGTTTTTCAACTGTGGGTTTCATTCATCAGTCTTTTGAAAGACCTCAAACATGTTTCAGGAGCCCTCTGCCCATATTCTTGGATGAATTAGTGTCTGAACCTGCACTGGACATTTATTCTGAGATACAGCTACTAAATGGACCTCGTGGTGAGATTGTTCTCCCAACAACTATTTTATTAACAACAACTTCAGCTTCAGTGACTGAGCGGTAGAGGCAGAGAGTGTAGATACCATAGACTAATGGGAGCTGTAGTTGTTGAAAGCTAACAAATCATTTAATATGAATCTCAAATTAACCGTCAATCAGTGCGTTTGCGTGCATTTCAGTAACCAGGTTAGTCAGCGAAAACCAGGTTATGCTGGTAATCCTGGTTACTGTAAATCCAGTAAGCAGATTTCTGGCCACCCCCAACCTTATTGTAGAAGCCTGGCTTACTGATTAACTCTATTAGAAGACCGTCACTAAAGTGCATTAAGTGCATGCACTGACTGACTCCATTCAGCCTAGAATATGGACAGAAAACTCTAGTATCATGTTCTCATGTTCTGCTTTTTTAAAATTGTATTAAACCCTGAAAACCATCAACGCCTGAAAATGGAGCGGGACTTCAGCTCACTTACTGACTGATCAATCAGGTAATCAACTGACTGATCCTCCTCATTTGCTGGTTGTCTCTCTCCATTGGCCGCTTTTCAGCTCAGACATCGTGATCACAAAGTAAACAAAGACTTCTCTGTATCGGCTCCTTTCTTCGTCTGTGCCATTCAAAGACGGAAAGAGACCTAGATGAACTGATATCCCCTTGTCTGTGAAACCCCTTAGCTCTCCTGGGCCTTACAAAAAATCCATGGACTTCCAAGGACTCCTGACCTGTACATAACAGTGCTTAAAGACACTTTTTTCTTTTCGATACCAAGGGATTTGGTGTCGCAACCTCAAGGACAGTTATTGCACCTCTAAAGGGAGTTGTTAAGGAAACATGTCGAAGCTGGTCTTCAGTTCTCATTTTTAAACACATGAATGGAGCCGAAAGTGCTGAAGCGACTCTTGGGGTTTACTGGGATTAATATTATTTATATGAATGTAATGCCATTGTTGCTTCTGTATTTGATGAGTATTCTGTAGGCTAGAAAGACTTTAGGATAAAGTGGAGTTGCTGCACTCAGTGTAACAGTATGTTGTGTTAAGACACCCATACTCAGTGTGGGAATCAGCAGTGTTTTTGTACATATTTCCTCATGCTAAATAGTTTTTTCATGGATCTCTTCACATCTGTTTCTCCTAAACAGTACCGTAAGATACATGTTATGTGTAAACATTGCTCATTGATACACTCTGCTGTGAAGAGGCGCTGATATCACTGCAGTCGGACTGTTTCTGGTGATTGTGTGAAGTACTCCTAACACATGCAAGCAGCAAATGAATGTGTTTAACATTTTGTGCCGATCGTCAGATGTGAATCATTTTACTCCTCGCAATCGGAGCCATGTTGGTGCTCCGCAGCCATTTTGTGGGAAGTGTCTCGCACGCCACACTCAATAGATGGAGTAATGACAGCCGGCCCGGGAACCGGCATCCATCAACACCCTCTGCTCCATCTCTGTCACCTCCATAATGGACCATAATGGCAGTGTGGTGCATGCATCAGAAACACGCAGAGGAATCACATTTCTTTGATAAAGGAGAAGGTAATAAATGGCTGTTATAAATTCTGCTGCCCTGGACCTGACGACAGCAGCGTTGTGTGTGTGTGTGTGTGTGCACGCATGCATGTGTGTGATGAGCTTCATTACACAAGTCCAATTGGCCTGTCCCAGGGTCCCAGGCACAGTTCAGTGCCTCGGCACAAAGCGAGCTGATGAAACCGCCTTCTGCTGACAATCAGGAGAACTAGGTCACCTCTGAAGCAGGATCCCAGAGGGCAAGCAGCGCGAGTCCAAACACCCCGAGGAGCCGAGCACATGGACACGTATTGTCTAAACACACATGACACACGACGGGCACACTGAATGACATGATGTGGAGTCACCAAAACGTGGGGCGGGGGGAAGTTCACACACTGATACACCGGTTTTCTATTGACTGTTTGTGTTTGTACATATGTGAATGTGTTTGTGTGAAAAAAAAGAGGAAGCTCCCTTTGGGGTAGATATCTCTGGAACAGTGTTATCTACAGTATATAATTACCCGAAGAGACTAAATGACGGCCAGTTATTGGAATATTTGTTTCCTGTCGTGATCAAAGTGTGGTTGTGGGCCTCTTATTGTCTTCATCCATGTCCAGCTTTTATTGTGAAAATTTGAGACGTCTGTCAGCAGACGTCAGAATGTATATTTATGCCCTTTACACAAGTCATTGTTTTTAATACTTCTGTGAAAATACCTTAGCCTTTGCTGTAGAAATAAAAAAACTTTTGAAAAATGTCCCTTTTTGTCAATAAATGTGAATCTAATCTTGTGCTTAACATGATTTATTCTTTCAATATGGGTTAATGGGTGTGGCAGAAAGATGGTATCAACAAAAGCATCGTTCATCATTCCTGTGAATCTGCAGTTGCATCACAGAAAGAAAGAAGCACAAACATACACACATGAGAAAGGAGAAAATCTGTAGTGAAGTATTGGCTTATTCTACTGTTGTAATCAATAGAGAGATTAACCTTGTAATGTGTGCAGGTGAAGAGGCCAGTGCTGCTCAGTTCCTTGATTAATCAGCGCCTTCGCTCCTGGAAAAACCATTCGCAACTAACTGCCTCATCAACTTTGATTATTCAAGGTCTCTGCGTGTCCAAACGGCCGCTTGAAAGACAAAAGGAAGTAAACCGATGTGTGATACAGCATTCGTTGTTTTTTCTCTTCCACAACATTAAAGCTGTGCGGCTTGTATTTTTAAAACATGCAGCATGTGGGGAATTAATTACAGTGGTAAATGAAGTGTTTAAATCCAAAATGAGATATTAATTATTTGGAAAATAGATTATTACAAAATGAATTCTTGCACAATGGATTTAACATCTTTAGAAAACTGATTTTTGAGCATGTATTTATCTTCTCCCTCAATATAAGCACATATATCTGTTTTCTGGTGAGCTTCATCATACCTCCCAGACATTCTCAGCACCGAACATGAATCACACCTTTTTGAAATGTGACTGCTGTGTTTTTCTGCGTTAACGCTGTATGTTTGGTCCTTTTTCCAGTCTCATTCACTCTTTTCTCCCAACAGCAAAATCACTAAGCAAACCAAAACCCCATCACCCCCTCCCCAGACAGAGCAGCAGCAGCCAGCCTGCCAGACGCAGGCCCCTTTGGCCTACTGCAGATCTAAATTACTGTAATCAGTGGATGAAAAGCAATCAGCAGCCTTGTATGAGCTGCTGGCAGAACGCCTGACCCCCGGCTCTTTCCACCAATCAGACCGCTGCGTCCCATTCACAACTAATCACGACCTGCACTCACTGCTTCCCTCACATTTGATGGAGGAAGCGCTCTTCTCCTCCTTTTGTCTTTTTGTGCCGGGCTGACCAGAGTCGTCCGGATTGATGAGGGATGACGGCGTGAGATGAAGCTCTTTCCTGTGCTTCCATGGTGGCAGCCATGGTTTCCCTCCTGGCACCAGCTGTAGAGGCTCAAGTTTCACTTTCAAATTTAGACTCTCATCTCTGCTCCTAATGTTGTGTTCAAGTGAGGAAGGAAACGGATGGAGGAAAAGAAAAATGTAAAGGTCCAGTGTGGAACATTTAGGAAGTTTTATTGGCAGACGTGGAATATAATATTCATAGCTACGTTTTCATTAGTGTATAATCACCTGAAAATAAGACGCTTTGTACTTTCTTCACCTTAGAATGAGACGTTTTTATCTATAGAGGGAGCGGGTCCTCTTTTGCAGAGTCTGCCATGTTTAACCGCCATGTTTCTACAGTAGCCTGGAATGGACAAACCAGACATTGGCTGCATTTTTTGCGGCCACTGTAGTTTCTCCTACACACTTGCTGTATTCAAACAGTTGCAATCTGCACTGATCCTTCAGCAGATGTGCTGAAGTAATCACTGAGTGTCTGAGTGATTGGATACTTTGTGCCAGAAGGCTTGATTACCAGGTTCAAAGATGTTGTGTTAAATACTCATGGCAAAGTGCAATTTACACTGAGTTGGGGGCCTGAGATGCCACTGAATTGTGTCTGGTAATATGGGCGCTGAAATGATCTGAGTGACACACATTACACATGGTGGGTTTTGAAGGATATTATTTTTTAGGCTCAACTTTGCTTGATTTAAGGTAAGCATGCATATTCTATTTATTCTCTATTGTATATTTGAACAAACACAGACAACACACAAAAAAAAGGATGAAAAAAAGGTCAAAAACACAGGTAAACAAACAAGAAACACTTATTACTCACTGAATTATTTTCACTGAAGCTCTTCTCACTTTCAAATATTAATACAGTTTTAAAGACATTCCTTATTCTTTACAGTAGAAGTAATGTTCTGCAGTTTTGTTGCCTCTAAAGTCCCTGAAATCTTAGATAAAAAAGTTTTTCTCACAAACATTTAAATATTCAGAAACAATAAAGGTTCAAGTTTGAGGGAAAAAACACATCCTTTAGTATTATTTATTATGATTTGAACATACAAAAACTTGGGACTGTGTGGTTTGATCAGATTTGATTGACAGTGACCTGGAAAGATTAGCACACAACCAACAAAATGTCATCATGTTTTGATTTAAATCATGCTCAATTCTGATTGGTGCACAGAGAAAGGTGACCCCACCAAGCCCCGCCCACTTCAAAAGATAAAGATAAAAAAGGAAAAACAAATAACTCATGAAGCGACTAAATCTGTTCTAACTTTGGCAGAAAATGTTGTTTTCACGTAGGACTCCATCACTTGTAGTATGACAGTGAAAATAAGTGTCCAGAGCCCTTTAACCCTTTAACATGGGAGCACAAGAGAGTGGGGGCAATATCTCATCTTTGAAACCACCTTTAAATCAGACTTAGAAGTCCCACCCTCCACTCAAAAATATGTTTTACTCATTGTTACTTCTCCTGGACTTCTTCTATCATGAACTGTGCTAAGTTTGACACTAGGAGGTATAGGTTTGAAGCCTCGAGTGCACAAATACTGAAAAAGGACTTAAGTAGGAAAAATCTTATGTCTACAGATAAAACCTTTGAAATTAACAAAATTTGCACATGTTCTTATTTAGGAAAAAGGAGTAGATACAGAGCTATTTTGTCTGTCATGCACAGATTATTACTTAAAGCATTAGTATTTTTATGTCTTCAAACATGTCTGGACCGGAGTAGCTGAATGACTAAAGGGTGTGAAACCGGACCAACTTTAGTGAATAACAAAGAAAACAAGAAGGAAAATGGGGGCTGGAGGGAGAAAATAAAGCTTATCTGCCATGAACGAGGATGCCGCCGTCTTTGTCACATGACACCCCCCCCCCCCCCACACACACACACACCTCCCCTCTTATCTAGACTCTCCCTTTCTTACCCTCTGCCTCTCCCCTCATTCTTTCCCACCCTCTGCTCGCCGCCAGGGGTGGATCCCAGCGTTTATCTCTACCATCCAGCCCCGGTGTCTCCTAGCAACCAAGCACGGATCATTTAACTGCCCCCTACATCCTGTTTTATCCATCCAGTTACATACAATATGCCAATTTGCCAACTGCCTTTATTCACATTTTCTGTGCTTTTATTTTCACCTCTTGGGCCCTGAAACTACCCTCTGCGTCTGGTTGTTGGTGTGTGTTTTTTTTTTAGTGTAGTGTAGTACTTGTCTCTCTGGCTTGGAGCACTCAAACCATATCAGTGCCACACTTGAGGCAGACAGACAGGCGGGAGAGGCTGTTCTGTCAGGACGTGTCACTCCAGGATCCAGCAGGTGCACAGAACACACACTAACACACACTAACACACACTAATGCACAATCAATGGGGGGGGGCTTGGCCCTCAGTCTGAAAGGCCCTCGCAGAATCAATTAGCATTTAAATTAATGAAGCGCGTAATGAAGAGAGCGCTATCTCTCCTGCAGAAAGCCGACAGACAGGCGGAAAGCTGATTGTGAATCTGCGTCAGGAAGACACACTGAAAGGAACATCAAAGATATTCAAATAGCCACTTCGTCCCCCTTTTATTTTTTTATTTTTTTGAAGGAAAAGTGCTGCTTTAAATAGACCTACAATATGTATGTAGAGTTAATATAATCACATTTCCATATAAAAAGTGCCATTAATAAAACACATAATTAAAGATAAAATGATTGCATGGAAGAGGACGGTTTTTTATCTTTCAATATCCATCAGTGCAAATATGCTTAAAGGAGGCTTCTTCCGGTGTAGATAACCCTAACTGATTTAATCAAGCAGATGGGAATTTGAGCTCATTTCAACCATTCAGAATATATTTCTTAATTTAGAAAAAAAAACTATATTCAATATCTTTCAGTCACAAAAATACTATTGTGTTGAGAAGGTGAGGCAGACTGGTACAGGGCCCTGAAGCTCACAAAAAAACTGTAGAAGATTATCAGAGACAAAAAAGTATTAATCCCCATGAATAAAGAATACAGTGTAATATGTTGTATGCGGAGTGTAAAAAATAAATAAAAAGCTTTATATCTTTCCTTGGAGCACAACTGAGCTGCAGCCTGTATTCATCATACAGCTCCATTGGCTGACAGAGGTAATCACCCATATACACTGAACCCTACTGCATTAGTTCACATATTAACACTTGTAACTTAGCTGAAGCACTTCAACCAAGTTAGCTATGATGAAAGTCAGCTGCAGCAAGACTGGTGCTCAGTAATGGGAAAAAAACATTTATCTAACTTTAGTCATATAATTTAGCCTAAAACAGCTTCTTTTGCTCTATTTGGAGCAGGTTGTCAAACAGTGAAAGGCTCTTTTTAAATTAGCTGACTCAGTTAGTGTTGATATTGGATTGTACTGCCAGCAATGGTGACTTAAAGCTCAGACATAGTTTCATTGTCAGCTGCAGACGTGCACTCGGTTCCACTTTTTAGTCCAACTGAGGGTCCATGTCGGTCCGGCATTTCACACATTTCCTGATCCACACTCCATTCCAGTTGGTGGCTATAATTCATCAAACGGTTGCCGACTGCCAAATGACTCAAGAAGAAAAATTATACCTATTAAGTATGAAAATGGTGACCGTAAGCTCCAGTGTTTGTTGTTTTTGGCAGAAGAAAAATGCAAAAAGAGAAAATGTAATGTGCGACCGCAGCACAGTACATTGGTGCTTTAAGCATCCATTTTTATTTGGAGCATGCACAGTCGGCACGCTTGCTTTGCTAAGTCTTCGTCTTCATCTGGCTATGTTTTGGACTGCGTGTGAAAAAAAGAAAATGGGAATTGATGCACGCTTCCACAAATGTTATTTAAATATTAGCAGTTAAATAGTTTTGTGGCACTAACTCT